TGCCGTGGACCAGGGACAGGTTGCTTAGCCTCTCTGAGCCTCTTTTTTTTTTTTTTTTTAAATTAAATCAGAAAAGCAGAGCAAAATAACAGGGACCGCATAATGTTGTGTGGGGCCAGCCGGTGGCATGGTGGTTAAAGTAGCTGAATCCCCTGTGGCCCAGACCCAGTGGCTGGAAAAACACACCAGGTCGTGCATACATGCTTGGAATCTTGAAAGAAAAAAAGGAGAGGGGATTGCAGCATGCCCCTTCCCCTGAGGGGGTGCCTTCTCACTCTGTCCCCACCCCTAGTCTCTCTCTGGTGAGCATGTATGCCAGCTAGCACATTTAAAAGATAAATAAAAACAAGGGGCTTGTTGGTAGTGTGGTGGTTAAGGGTGCTGGACTCCCACATGGCCAACCGTGATTCGAGTCCCAGACCTGCGGCTTGCTTTCTCACTTTCCCTCTCTCTCTCTCTCTCTATCCCTCTCTAGGCAAATTAAAAATAAAAAAAATGAATAAATAAACTAAAGTTAAATAAAATAATTCTTAAAAAAAAAAGTTTGGCAGCTCAGCATGAGAATCCAGGTACAAGCGGAGAACAAGCGGAGGGCAGGAACACGCAGGCTCCCTGCCAGGGGCTGTGGTGTGAGTCCCAGGGAGGCACAGCAGCTGTGGGTACAGCTTAGCGGACTCCTACTCTGTGATTTTTCTCCATTATGTGCTGTCTTTATGAGGACTGTACGTGGGTATTACTCGTCCCACTTGACAGATGAGAAAACCAAGGCTCAGGGAGATAAAGCGGCTTTGCTGAAAAGCAGTGGGTGGTAGAGCTGGGATTCCAGTGCAGGCCTGTAGGGCAGGTATCCCAAAACGCAAATGAACCCTTCCTTTAAGCTGCAAGGTCACAGAAACCAGGGGTGCACAGGGAGCAGCTCTGGGGCTAGTCATGGGGAAAGGTGAGCACCAGCTCCTCTAAACATGCCTAGTGCTGGGGCCAGCAGTGGTGTGATGATTAAGGCGCTGGACTCCCACATGGCCGACTGCAGCTCAAGTCCCGGACCTGTCCACTTGAAAATTGTGCCATGCCCGTGTATGTGCGTGCCCAGAATCCCAAGAGGAGAATGGAGAAGGGACAATGGAGTGGCCGTGCCCCCTGGGGAGTGATTTCTCACTTTCCCTCTCACTATCTCTCTCCAGCAAGTGCATGTGCCCTGTGGCAAAAGCTAAAACCGATAACAAAATCACTCCCAGTGTCCTCTCCCAGACACAGGTGTGTGTGGGGGAGGGTGTCTTCGGAAAGTTCGTGGGAAGTGCATATTATGAAAAAACTATGCATGGACTTTAAAACCTTTTGCACCAAAATAAACTCCTATTTTAATTTCATTTTCCCATAAACTCTCTGAAATCCTGTTGTACACATGAGCATGCGTCCTCAGGGCAGGAAGACCTGTGCACTCACTTCTCTCTTTATGGGCCGCAGGGCTACCCCGGTCCTATTGCCTGCTCCTGGCAGTCCTGAGTCCCTGTGCTGCCCCTGCCCCGCTGCCCCGCTGCCCTGCGGCTGGCTCCCC